GTTTTGTTCTTGATGCTTAAGATTTACTTTCATTATAATAGCTTAAAAATAAAAAAAGGGTGAGATGTAGGGTGCAACTACAGGGTTAAGCCTCAGACTGACCTGTTGGCAAAGCCACAAACAAGTCCCAGCTTAGAGAGCACAGTCCTCTTAGCATAATTAGGCTTGACCTTATGAAGCTCCCTAGATCTTCCCTGGGAAGCTAATGGGCTGAGGGAGGTGCAGAAAGTGCTGCCAAAACAAGTGAAATTCGCAAGAACATTGTAACTATGGTGACCACTACCTTGTTTACCTCTGGCTATAAAATAAAGGCTCAGCTTGCCTCTGGATCTCTCTCTGTGGCCTCAGCCAGGCACAGGAGATCCACCTAGACCCAGCTTATTCTCTTTGTCTGTCATTTCTTCATTTCCTCACCGCCCTCACTCAGGCTTTAGAACCCTTGGCTGAGCTGGCTCGGCACAAGAGAGAACTTTAAAAACTATCATAACTTCCAGTTGAATGCTTCTGTGCCTATTTTTGTCTTTCCTGGAACACTTAAAAACAAACAAACTACAACCTAGCGTTATGGAAAATTTCAACTACATACAGTAGTAGGGAGAATAGATCCATTTATCAACAGTCCAGTTTTAACAATCATCAATTCATGGGAAATTTTGTAAACCTCTTCCCTTAATCTTATGTGCACACTGGATATTTAGAAGATACTCTGGTTGCTTCTCAGATCGCATAAACCTTTCACCTTTTACTTAAATATTTAATTATGAAATCTAAAATATAATGACTCTTTAGAAACATAACATCATACCACACCTAAAATTCCTTAGTACAGTCCATATTCAATGTTTCTGATTGTCCTACAAGAATTATTTTTTACATACATTACAGCATCCACCCTTCTCCAAGGGGAACACAGTGTGAGAGCTTATCATATTATTCAGAATTGCATGCAATTTAAAATTTATGAATTGTTTATTTCTGTAATTTTCCATTTAATATTTTTGGACTGCAGTCGACTGTCAGTGGCTGCCGTTACAGAAAGCCAAACTGTGGCTAAGGGGGACTACTGTTGTAATGTACCCCGCAAATCACACAAGGACGCCTCAAGAAGTCTAATTAAGGAGTCACATTTATTTCAAATCTGGGACTACGAGGGGGCATTTTGCTCTCTCAAACCTCGTAGTGATTACATAGCCCCAACACCAGATTAATATAGGCAAAAATCACAAAGGTATTGATTACATCTCAGGGTTTGGAATAAGGAACCTGGTTTGCAAAAAAAAGCAGTTTGTTACAGAGGCTAGATTGAGCCGATTAGTTATCTACAAAGATTAATTATAGTTTCAGATCTTGGGACAACTGAGTTGACAGAGACACATTATCTAGAGCCACCGGGTCTTGGGACCACTGAGTCAACGGAAACACATTATCTGTAGCCACTGAGGCAATTTAGGGTAATTGTGCTGTCCTGGTTTCCAGGTACAAAAGAATGTGCTTCGATAACCATAAGATCACAATCAATGGGATATTCAACCCACCAACAGTGGAGTATTCAATCAATTGGGATAGCATACATAAGTTCAGAAAATCAAAATAACTTTTCTATTATTTTAGCAAGCAAATAATGACAGAAGCCAAGTCAGCAGGGTTAAAATATTAAACAGCAATTCCCACCAACCATGGTTGCCACCATGTTTCACTACTATATATCATTAAACTGATATTGATAATATCCCTTCCAGATAAGTATTATTAGCACTATTTTGCAGATGATGAAACTGAGGCTTAGAGAAATTCAGAGATACACTCACAGACATAGCAATAATTAGTGACAAACCTGGGACTAAAATCTAAAGTCCATGCCCTTTGTTGAATACTTCCTATCATTTTACATCACATATAATTTGTTCTCCCTTTATTTTCTCTCTCTCTCTCTCTCTCTCTCTCTCTCTCTCTCTCTCTCTCTCTTTCCCTCTTCTCCCAGTTCCTTTTCTTCCACCCGTTCCCCACATTCCCTATTCCCCTTTTGCTTTTTCTCCCTTGATCCTTCAACCAGCTACAGGGTTACTACAACTCTCACCCCAGTCACCTTTGCAAGCACAGGCCACATGAGGCACTTGCTTAATTTAAAGCCCTAAAGTCCTTCAGATTCTATACACCATTTTGGGGGGTATTTCTCCTTTTTCCTCTGAAAGAATCCTAAGCCAACTAAAGGAGCTTAGATCTAGAAGACTCTATTCACTTTGTACCATAGGTTAAAATTTATTGGATTTTCTGTTTTAAGACAGCATAAAATTTTTCAGAGATAGAATTTATACCAAAAAGTAAACTCTCTTGCCCTGGCCAGTGTTTCTTGGGGTTTAGAGCATCCTCCCATGCACCAAAGGGTCACGGGCTTGATTTCTGCCAGAGCACATACCTAGGTTGTGGGTTTGATCTCGGTGGGGGCATGTGCATGAGGCAACTGATCAATTTTTCCCTCTAATTTGCTCCTTCTCCCTCCTCTCTCCCTAGAATCAATGAAAAAATCCTCAAGTGAGGACTTTTCTTTTTTTAGAAAAGTAAACTACCTTCTCCGTTTTGTTGAAGATGGGTGATGAGTACATGAGGGTTCATTATACTATTCTCTCTACTTTTGTGTATGTTGGAAAATATTTTTGTAAGTAAAAACCAAACCTCTCTTCTCTATACTTGACATTCACCAACTGCCTTCCCTTCTTATCGTATATTCTCTACTTAATGTTATGGTGAAGCTTTGGTTTTCAAAATAAAGTCTCATGTTGTACACCTCATTATAGCATCATTCACAATGGACAAGACATGGAAAAAACCAAGTGCCCTTCAATGGATGATTGGATAAAGAAGAGGTGGTACATACATACTATGTAATACTTCTCAGCCATAAAATAATGATTAAATATTGCCATTTGCCGCAACATGGATGGAGCTTGAGAGTTCCATGCTAAATTTATACAATTTTTATTTTTCAGCTATCCCTCAATAAAATATAAAGAAAGACTAATTTCTGAAGTAAATTTCTTATGACCCCAAGATTAGGTCAAACTTATTAAACTACTTAAATAAAGACAAACATCCTTGTGTATTTTCTCCCTTTTCCATTCTTCCCCCTTTTTATTTCACCAATTTCACGCTTATGGAATGTGTGGATGCAGGGAAATGGAAACACGGCTTACAACTCAGACTAACGCACAGTGCTTTTGACTACAGTGGATTCAGTCATGTGTTGATGGCTTCATGATTCAGCTGAAACTTCAAACCTGAAGTTTTTGACTACAGTGGATTCAGTCATGTGTTGATGGCTTCATGATTCAGCTGAAACTTCAAACCTGAAGTTTTTTTAATCAGATTTACTTACCAAGTGTCCTGCTGTTCTCATATAGAACAAGTTTTTATTTATTAACTAGAGGCCCAGTGCACAAAATTCGTGCAAGGGGGGGGTCACCTCAGCCCAGCCTACACCCTCTCTAATCTGGGACCTAAACTGGCAGTTGGACATTCCTCTCACAATCTGGGACCACTGGCTCCTAACTGCTCACCTGCCTGCCTGCCTGATCACCCCTAACTGCCCCCCCCCCGCTGGCCTGGTCACCCCAAACTGCCCCCTTGCCAGCCTAGTTGCCCCTTACTGGCCCCCCCCACCAGGTTGGTCTCCCCTTACTGCCCTACCTGCCTACCTGGGCACCCCCAACTGCCCCCCACCGCCAGGCTGGGCACCTCTAAATGCCCCCCCTGCCGGCCTGGTTGCCCCTCACCCCCTCCCTGCACCGGGCTGGGCGCCCCCCAAAGGCGGCCCTGCGGGGCTGGTCACCCCACGCAGCCTGCTTGTTCAGGCGTTTGGTCAACCCCTCACTAAACCGCCTTGCTGACCTGGTTGCCCCACACAGCCTGCTTCCTGTTTGTTTGGTTGCCCCTCACCCCCCTGCTGGCCTAGTCACCCCACACAGCCTGTTCAGTTTCAATGGTTGCTTAGGCTTTTATATATATAGACTAGTGTCCCAGTGCACGGATTCGTGCACACTGAAAGGAAATGAATTAGAATATTTTAAAATCGCTATTTGCCCTTTCTCTATAATAGAAGTGTCAACCAAATTCACGATCAACAATGACAGATTGAAACACACATGTGAGGTTGGTGCCAGCAAGAGCTTTATATGTATCGCGCATGCAGGAGTCAACTTAGCCTTTTATAGATATAAATAAACTTGCTTAATTAGACCTGCTTTCTGATTTAGCTAAACTTTTTCCAGCCCAGTGAAGCACGCGAACTTCTTTTTCAGGTAATTATCAGCAACACAGCAGTAAATATCAACACAAAGCAGATTATTATTATATCTCACACAGAGAGAACAAGGGGTAAGATATTTAACTGTAGCAGTGTTTGACTATATTCTGCGCAGTGAGAAAACCTGAAGTGATTTTCTTTTTCTTTATTTTATTTTATTTTATTATTTTATTGCTTAAAGTATTACAAAGAGGATTACATATGTCTCCTTTTTTTCCCTGCCCTTGACAATCCCCTGGCCTCCCCTACCCCCCAGTGTCTTATGTCCATTGGTTATGCTTATATGCATGCATACAAGTCCTTTGGTTGATCTCTTAACCCCCTCCCTCCTGCCCCCCAACCCTCCCCGGCCTTCCCACTGCAGTTTGACAATCTGTTTGAGGCAGCTCTGCTTCTGTATCTATTATTGTTCATAAGTTTATAATGGTCTTTATTATCCATGAATGAGTGAGATAATGTGGTATTTTTCCTGAAGTGATTTTCAAGGTTCACCATTTCTTACTTCTTTTCAGTCAGGTCAAATCTAAATCTAAATCTCCATTTTTCTGGCTAATAAAAAGAAAATAGGATTCTACCAAGTCTCTATCTACCTACTCGAGGACTTCTGTGAGGATCAAATGAAATGATGCTTGGGAAAACGCTTCACAGATATTTGGTTGAACTGTAAAATGTTTGCACCTGGCTATAAAGTAAATCAGATTCCTGGGCTGAAGAAACTGCAAGGAGGCTAGTCGTTAGGGAGAGGAATCCGGGCATAGCTATGTGATGTCATTACCTGGTGCCCACAGTGACTGTTTCAGGCTGAACTGGGCTGTGGGCCACATTTGCACCATGGGTTCTTGACAGTGTTGGCTGCAATTTGGTGGGGTGTCGCTCCAGGCTGGTGGCAGGGCCTGTGTCCCACTTGGAAGAAGCCAAATGTTGGATTGTTGTCGCCAGGTCCATGGTGGCATTTATTTTTAAACTAGAGGCCTAGTGCACAAAATTAGTGCACAGGTAGGGTCCTTACGCCTGGCCAGCAATCAGGGCCAATCAGATCCTTCTGGATGCTGGCTGGGGCCTTCTTTCATTCTGTGCCATCCCCTGGTAGTCAGTGCACATCATAGCGAGCAACCAAACTCCTGGTTTCCTGGTCAAACTCCTAAGAGATCTTGTCTCTTCTGAAGTCAACTTGACCCCAGGTAACATGAACAAAGTAAATTTGTGTTGGATTTCTATCATTTAAAACCAAAAATAGTACTTTTATTGCTTATTATATTTTCTCAAAAATAAAAATTGATCTTGGCCAATGTGACTTGCCAGGATGTATCTGAAACCTCAGTGACCAGAGGTCACTGTATCAGAATGCAACAATTCCACATGCTTACTTACAGAATTCTCCCCAAACTGGAAGAGAGGCAGCAGTGCTAAGGCCACTGCACTCAACATCAATACTAAAGAATCATGAAGGATATGATGATTGAAATTATTTTCTGTCCCCTCTTCCCACCCTTGTGTGGCACCCCAAGATGGTTCTAGTCTCCTTTCAAGGCAAAACATCCCCTCTGATCCCAGGCTGGCTGGGTCACCTCAATATATGTTGCTTTCATTCTGGAGTGGCTTCCTACCTCTGCTCATTTAAGGAGGTTCAGGACACAGATAACTCACAATATGTTTAGTTATGATAAAAAAGCTCTGTAGGTAGGTAATTGAGTTCAACATGCTTTTCTTGAACAGTCTGTGGGGAGAGAATGGAAACAGAAAAACACTTTGGCAGGAATAGGAAGAGACTCTGAAGTCAGTGCAGGAGGCACCATCCTTGGGGTGAGGGTCACACAAGGTGACGTGAGGACTGTCAGGGTGACTGTAGGGCTTGATCTCAGAGTTGGACAGGTTAACAGGCAACTGGAACTGTGGGCAAAGATCGGCACCCATCTCAGAGGAGAGAAAACCAAGTACAATGATATACCTTCAGGAGTCAGTGCAGGAGCCCTGTAAAAGAGAGTGATCAGCACTCGGCATTCTGGGGGGTACGCCCCTTTCCACTCCTCTTGGGGTCCCTGAACCATCAGTTAAAGATGAGGTCCGGGAAATATCACCATCACCTCCCGCAATATCTGTGCAAAGGTGAAATCAGCTAAAGAGGACAAGCACTTCAGCTCCACGCAGATGTGTGAAAGGTGAGTGAGCAGATGTTACCCTTCTGTGGAATATGAAGAAAGACCTCACTCTTTTTAGTAAATTATGGTAACTCACCTTCCTTCCACCACTAGTAGTCACTTATAAAGGCCCATAGGCAGGAAGTGGCGCCAAGTGGACATCATCCCCGTGCCTACCACCCCAGACATGGCTCTGGCTCCACATTTCACAGAAAGATCCACCAAAGTTAAACCCTGGTTCTGGATAACAAGCCAGAGCTTCCTTCAGAATCTGGGCGAACTTCTCCCCTAACCCTTGATCCCATGACAGGGAATAGGCCATGAACCATGAACTTTGTGACTCACCTTGCGCCCCCCGCCCCGTCTTTTTCTTGTCCTCACACCACCACCCCCATTAAATCAGAGCAGAGACAGTACTTGAGGCAGAGGCCCATCAGATCCTACAAAAAGATTTTACACAGAGAAAGGTCACATTTAACAGCCAGTCCCTCTCCTACCCACAGAAAATGAAATAAGCAATTTAATTGGAAATCTATTTCCTCCCTACCCTTGGCCACAAGGCCTTACCCCCAAAGCTACAATCCTCCAAATGAGTGGACCTGTCACTAGAAGGAAGGAAAGACAACGCCCTGATCTTAAAGAAGCAGCTTCTGGAAAGGGGCCAGCAAGACAGTGATGAGCTCTCAGCCCCAGGACATTCGCCACAGTCATACCTGTGGCAGGGCTGTCTTTCAACCAGTAAAATCAAGTGCAAAGCCTGGCCTAGCTGTCTGTCTCCTCCCACCACCAGCCCGGCTGCCTGCCTTCCAGGTCAGGAGGAGAGTTACACCTACAAGCAGAAGCTCCCTCAACAGAGGGTCCCGGGCACAGCCCACCTTCCCGTTTCGCCAGTTGCTTACCCTTCTGTTTCCTGTGACGGATGACAAGGCCCAGGCCCAGGAAGATCAGCCCCAGCACGAAGGCCCCGACGCCGCTCAGCATCTTGCTCTGGGCAGATCCAGACTGTGCCCCTGGGGAGCAGAGCCTGGGTGTCAGCTTCTGTCCCAAACCCACAGGGGCCCTTTGGAAGCCACCACCCCTGGGACAGGACCAGCCAGTAAACCCTTGGACACCGTGGGTGGTGACAGAGAAGAAGTGGATCCTGCTCCTTCACACACATCCTTAACCTTGGATCCTAAGCCCCGTCACCAGCCGCCATAGTCATGGTGTAGAGTGACCTCCCTAGTGTCTGGAAACACAATGATATCAGGAATCTTCGGATGCCCCTGCTTCAGAATGAGGAGGCCTAGTGTCCTGTGACGTCCACTCAACAGTGACATCAGGGGCAGGGATGCAATGGGACGGCCAGAGGACGCTGTTTGCCCTCTGTCTGTGGGGCCCAGGGTGCAGGAAAGAAACGGCCCCTTACGCCACTCCACTGCGATGGGGCTCTGGAGGCTGGGGTGCTCTACGCGGCAGGTGTAGACGTCTCCTCGCTGGGGGGTCATTTCCAGCATCACCAGGACCTGGTAGGTCCAGTCCCCGTTCCTGATCAGGGGGGTGGACACGACGCCGGCTGTCTCCTCCTGGTCGTTCCGGAACCACCGGACTTTGATGTGGGCTGGATAGAAATCCGTCACCGAGCAGACCAGCATGTTGTGGTGGGTTAGGGCCTCTGTCTTGGCTGGGGAGATAGTCACTGTGGGCTCCACTGGGAGGGGAGAGGTGACAGAGAGGAAAAGACAGAGTGAGATGTGGGGCACAGGCAAGTCTCCCCACGGGGAAGGTCCTCCCTGAACCAGCGGGAAAGATCCCTGGATTCCGAGTCCAGGATGAGGACCCGAGCTGGGCCACTTGATTAGCTTGAGTTAACAGTTAACTTTTCAGTCTCAAGAGCTAACAGCAATCATTTTATGGGAGTTATTCTGTTAACAATTAATAAAAATGAAGCCCTTTAAATGTTTAAATTGCTAGGTTATAGAGGCCACTATTCACAATGTTTTTAAATAAAGATGAAAAGCCTGGACTTCTTTTCCCTCCACCTGTTAATGGTGACCCTGGGGATCAGCTCTAGGGACTCACACCAGGGCAGTGACCCTGTTTCCTGTTGGTCCTGCAGCTCCTCACAGTGGAGAAAATACATCAGTTTGAGTCTCCGGGGGCATGAGCCCACCAACACTGGTCACGGTTCCATGAACAGTAACATGGACTGAGAATTAGGAACGTTACAGACAGTTCTATGTCCAACAGAGCAGGACAGCAGTGAGCATCACATCCCTCCTCCGAAGCAATGCTCTCAAACTGGCTCTTCCCTACCATTCTCAGCAGGAAACACTGAAAGGATTTAAGGGCAGGAGCACTTCTCACATGTCATCCATCAACAAAGCCCCTTCTCAGCTTTTAGCCTAACCTAGCCCAGATGCCATTCTGTGGCAAACTCCCATTAAGTTGTAAATCCTATCTAATAATAGAGAAACATGGTAATTAGCCGTACCTCCACTACCCTTCCCATTGGCTAATCAGGGTGATATGCAAATTAACTGCCGACCAAAATGGCGGCTGGCAGCCAGGCAGCTTGAAGCTAACAGGAGGCTTGCTTGCTTCAGTGACGGAGGACTCCAACGTTCCCCGCCTGCTGCTGCCGGCCTCTGAGCTTGCAGTTTGAAACACTGTTACAAATATAGAAGCTAAACAAAACCCCAGAAACCTGCTTTCAGCCAGCCAGGATCTCAGAGCTGGAGTTGAAACAGTGTTTCGATTATAGAACCCAAACAAACCAGATACCTGCTTTCAGCAGCTGAGGTCTCAGAGCTGGAGCCAAGCCTCAGAGCTAAAGCTGGCCCAGAATTTTTAAAAAAAGAAAAAAAGGACAGGTTGGGAGCTTCAGTCATCCGCCAGCCTGAAAACGGCCCTCAGCCCCTCACCCAGACTGGCCAGGCACCCCAATGGGAACCCCCACGCTGAAGCGGGTGTGACCAGCTGCAAACAGCCATCATCCCCTCATCCAGGCTGGCCAGGCACCCCAGTGGGGACCCCCACCCTGATCCAGGACACCCTTCAGAGCAAACCAGCCGGCCCCCACCCGTGCACCAAGCCTCTATCCTATATAGTAAAAAGGTAATATGCCTCCCAGCACTGGGATCAGCGGAGCCATGAGGCCTCCGGCACCGGGATCAGCTTGACAGGGGGCAGCGCCCAAACCCCCTGATCACCCTGCGACTCTGTGTGTGACAGGGGGCGGGGCCACAACCTCCCTATCCGCCCTGCTCTGTTCGTGACAGGGGAAGGCACCCCAACCCCTGATCAGCCCTGCTCTGTGCTTGATAGGGGGGAGCTCCCCAACACCCAGATCGCCCTGCGGCTCTGTGTGTGACAGGGTGCAGCGCCCCAACCCCCTGATCGGCCCTGCTTTGTGTGTGACAGGGGGCGGGGCCACAACCTCCCTATCTGCCCTGCTCTGTTCGTGACAGAGGAAGGCACCCCAACCCCCTGATCAGCCCTGCTCTGTGCCTGATAGGGGGGAGCTCCCCACCCCCCAGATCGCCCTGCGGCTCTGTGTGTGACAGGGTGCGGTGCCCCAACCCCCCCCCCCCAAAGGGCCCTGCTCTGTGTGTAACGGGGAGAGCCATAACCCTCCCCATCGGCCCTGCCCTGAGTGTGAACAGTGGCGGCACCCCAACCCCCTGATTGGCCCTGCTCTGTGGGTGATAGAAAGCGGTGCCCCAACCCTCCCCCCCCCCCACGGTCACTGGTCTGGTTGTGACAGGGGGAAGTGTCCCTCATCCTATATTGGATTTAAATTTAGATGGATATGCTAAGCTCCTTATATCCCTTATTGGCGCTGGTCCGG